CCCCAAAACCCCAAAACCCCAAAACCCCAAAACCCCTTTGGCATAAAAAAATTGACTAATTTTTATAAAATTTATTAAAAAATGAGTGAAGCAACGCTGGTCACGCTAATTAGGAGGATCTCAAGGCTATTCTATGATGATCTAACTTGCATAGTAGTTGACTACCTCTGAAAGCACAAGAAGTAATGTCTAACCTCATAGATGTAGGCTTGAAGACAACACTTTTGCTAAAGAGTATGATCTCAAGGCGAACGATGTCAGAGGCAAACTCAACAAATTACTTGAAGATGGCTTCCTCAAAAAGTTTTCTTTATCGTTTAAAATATAGGAAGGAACTCAACAAGAAGCAGGTTGATGAGGAAATCAAGAAGAAGGTAACTAAGACCACTACCTTCATTCAATGGACCTTCAATACTGATTTAATGAATGTGTTGAAGTACAGGATCATGAAGCTAAAGCAAGCTGTAGATAAGAAAGTTGAGTCCTCACAAACTGATAAATTCTACTGTGATCATTGTGACAGGGAGTTCGACTCTATGGAGGTCTACCAAAGGGATTACATTTGCCCCTTTTGTGACAAAGAGCTTGAAAAGAAGGAAAGAGCATGTAAAGATCCCGAGAAACTAAGAAAAGAGTTTAACAAAATCTTCAGTAGCTTTGAACAGGCCATTAAGGCTCTTGATGAATTCATCATTCCTCGAGAGTTCTTTGGATTTGATATCATTCGGAAACCAAACTTCAATCTCCCCGATAATTTAGCCATTCAAGGGTTCAAGAACAATCAGCTATCCGGTTTGAAGCTTAAGCCTGTTGTTAACATCCAATTTGAGACTCTGCGACCTGACATCTACAAAGAACACCATAGTTACGATATGAAATCAATTGAAAAATCAAAATAAAGATGATCCAGATTTGTACGATTATTACCTACAAGAAACTAAATCGAGGATGACCAAAAACGTCAAGGGTCTCACTATGAAGAAGAGGAAGAAAAAGGAAGAGGAAAAGAGAGCTGATTAAATCCTTACAGATGATAGCCTGCAGCCTATCTTGCCTTATCGCTGCTGATTCATTATAGACATCATGTGCTTTCATACTTATTTGGAAATTAATAATTATCCACAAATTGGGGTTTTGGGGTTTTGGGGTTTTGGGGTTTTGGGG